GTAATTATAGAATAAAGAGATTATTTAAGATACAAAAAGACATATAGGCAGATCTTTCATTAAACTATCGCACAACTATTGTGCGAATGTCAATTGTTTAGCAGCCCATTCAACTATTTAGTTGTACAACTAAAAATCGAGTAGTGTGCACACCTCCATATAAGAATAGCAAGCACAGCGAGACTAAACAGTTGTGCGGTAGTTTAGTTGGACGTTTAAAGAAATCTTGCTTACCTGTGCATTATAAACCATGTGGACGCCCTGTACTACGATGTTTTTCGCGAACTCATCCAAAAATGTCAATATATGCTCCACCTGTTGATACGGCATTTCAACAATATTAGATACCTGTTGATAAGAATGCAGTTTATTTCCATGGTGTTCCTGATATTGTTACCTGTGCCTCATACGGCAGTCCCCTGAGCCTGACGCAGTCTTTAGCGGTGCCCGAGGTGATGACATGCTGCGGCACCAGGGTCACGGGCAGGAGACCTTCAGCGGGCGCGCTGGCGGTAGACGGCGTGCTGGCGGTGCTCGTGCGTGTCTCCAGGGAACGGTTTAGTACCTAATCACAATGAATGTTAAACTCTTAAGTGAATATAAGATAATTAAATGGTGACGTCACCAGGATACATGATAGTATATAAATATTATAAAAAGGAAAGATTTGTATTTTTGTATGTATTGAAATAACTCAAAAACTACTGGGCCGATTTCAAAAATTCTTTCAACATTAAAAAGCTACGTTATCACTGAGTAACATAGGCTCTATGTCACGAGTAACAGCCAGTAAATAATAAGGCTTTGTTAACATTTCCTCTTTTAAATAAAATATATAAAAATTTGGCAGCTACGAGGTCACATAAGCATGCACCAACCACTCACCATCACTTCACAAGAGCAAGCTGCGGAAACAGATTTTGATACATTCTTATTTATCACATCAGGATTAGGAAATTTAGTTTTTGAGACAGATTTTATAGAACAAATTGCTATAAAGCAGACATTATAGATACTAATATCTGTATTAATACGAAAGTTACATTACATAAAGAATAACTATACATTTTATCCATGTGTCGTTTGTTAATAATTGACACTTTATAACCTTACTAGCTGTTTTTGTGCGGCTTCATCCGCATGGAATTATAAAAACATTATTTCATTGTTTAGATTTGTCAAATTCTCTATTGCAAAATGACCTTGCTTCCTTAATGTTGGCAGCTTGTAGTTTATGGTCCCTTTCCATGTGATGGTTTTTTACAATTTATTTTCCCCTAAGTTTAATAGCTACACCACGAAGTAGTGTGTACGCTTCATTATATTAGTATAGATAGTATAGGTTAATATTTAAAATTTTGTCACGCAAAATTTGTATTTCAAACATATATCAGTTTACATAGGAGCCATCAGTTTTGCATATCATTTACCTGTTGTACTTCAGCAGTGGTAGATCTGAACAGTTCTATATATCTCGCGCCGATGAGCTTTCGATGTCTGGAGAGAGCTTTAGGCGCGTCCTCCTCTTTAGGGAACAAGACGAACGCATCGCCTGTAGCTCTACCGTCCGGCCGCCGGACAAACAACACGCCTTCTAAACCATCCAGCACTTGAACTGGATCGTCACCAGATGAGAAGAAATCCAGCTGTAAATAAAACGGTCATCATCATCATCCTCCTTATCCTACTCCCGTAATGTCAGCGCAACAGGTTCTTGTCCTCCACATAACTCTATCATACGTCATCTCAGTCATCACTCCCTTTATGATCATGTCACCTTTCACGCAATACAACCATCTCTTTCGAGGTCTACCTCTACCGATGTACCCTTCCACACTCATAACTACCGTTCTCCTTGTAACATGTGATTCATCCCTCCTCATAACATGCCCATACCATGCTAACATGTAAATAAAATGGAATATTAAGGTGAGTGGGAAATAAATAAATAAAATTAAGTATAAAATATTCTACCAAATAATCTACGACTGATTTAAAAAGTACTTCTGATATTATAATTGCGAAAATTTACATGAATTGATGTTTGTTAGTGTAGCCTAAACGACTGTACGGATACGATGAAATTTGGTATGGATTTATAGAGTTACTAGCTTTCCACGCGACTCCGTCCGCGCGGAATAAAAAAAGAAAAACAAAACCAAGTTGCCTATATGTTCTTCCAGACTATCCTTTACATCTATGCCAAATTTCATCAAGATCCCTTCAGCCTTTTAGGCTAGAAACTCGAACAAACATCCATCCATCCATCTAAACTTTCACATTTATAATATTAGTAAGATTATCTGGACGGACGCTGAGGATACTTTTTTTTTAATTCCACGCGCAGTCGCGGATAAAAACTAGTTTCACACAATTGTAAGTTTCAACTGTAGTGAATTGTACTATCTCTGGCATGCCAGTTAGTACTGGAATATGTATTTAAAGTATACTAACAACTTGCTGCGGTGTAGCGTCGTAGGGCAAGCCACGCATGCGCACGATAACTTGAGCGCCACGAGATAGGAAGGCGGCTGCCTCACACGTGGCGCCCCCCGCCACTGACAGGAAGTCCTCTCCACTGGCACGGTACACCTGTAATTGTCATACTAGGATTAAAAATAATATAGACAAATTTTGAATCCTCTCTTCGTTCTGGGTTGCTGAATATTGATTCGAGCTGTTGCTCGCGACTTCGCCCGCGTGATATAAAAAAATAATAAAAAATGTAGTTTATGTTACCTACTGATAACGTAGTTTTTTTATGGTGAGAGAATTTTTTAAATTAGCCCAGTAGTTTTTGTGTTATTTCAATATAAAAATACAAATCATTCCTCTTTATAATATTAGTATAACTAGTATATATTTAACTTCACTTGTAATCTACAGATATGTGTAAAATCAACCCGCAGTGGACCAGCGTGCTTGAATATGGCCTAGTCACCCCTTACTAAGGGTAGGTTCCGAGCACCTCAGTGGTATCATATTGTGAGTTGGTGATGATGATTTAAAGGTTTCTTTCTTGTAAAGGGTTAATAGTTACCTCGATGTACCGCGGACCGATGTGGTGTTTATGACGTTTGAGAGCCATGTCCCTGTGCTCTTGTGACACAAAGCGCACCAGCGCTTCGCCGTTACGTCTGCCTTGCGGTGAAAGGCAAAGCGCTACGCCACCCCTGAAAAAGAGTACCACCATTATATTATAAAATTACATTATAAAACATAGGATACTCTTGTTCTCTTTGTTTTGTCAAAGAGTATGAGAGAGACAGACTATATCTTTAAATTCCCCCCAACATTTCTATTATCTGTGGACATATGTGATTTTCCAAACATTACCCTCAGTTATTTTTTAAGCAATATTGAGTCTTCTACTAGTGGTAATAGGATACATATTCTAGTATACTCACTTGGCGACATTTAGCCCTCTGAAGAATTTAGCGATGTCTTGGTCTGATGATTGCCAAGGTAGTCCACGAGCGCGTACTATACAGTTGCCGTCTATTTCATCGTCTTTTGAGCTGCAACAGATTATAAATATCAAATGTGCGCTTACTAAATTAAGTTACGTATTAACCATAGGGTGTACTATTTTAATTTACAAAGTAACATTGGAAAAAGCTAGTATATGAAGTTATCAGTCATTGACGCGTGTAGTTATTTCTACTCCGATATTTTGTATTATGATAACCTAATTCTATTTCTAACAACGCAATTAGGGTAATACGTTTACTATGATTATCTATTTTTTTATGAAACACTTTTATTTTTGTTTACATTAAAACTAGCTTTCGCCCGCGGCTTCGTCGTTGTGAATTAAGAAGTAAAAAAAGTAGCCTATATGTTCTTCCAGACTCCCATACAGACCAGACTACATCTATGCCAAATTTCATCGAAATCCGTTTAGCAGTTTAGGCTTCAAAATCTAAAAAACATCCATCAATTCATTCAAACTTTCGCATTTATAATATTAGTATGACAATAAGATTAATATACCAGCTTTGATATGTATGTAAGTAGGACAGCGTCTTCTACATCATTTAAAAATAAAATGTAGCTTTGAAAGGGTCAAAATTTCACATTTTTCTCAATATCTATTTTTTTAATTGGATAAAATTTTAGATAGATATTTATTGGAATTCGAATGTGCTTTTTAATAATAAATATGAATTGTTTTTGGTATTTTACGTTGGTTCGTAAGTTTATCGTTTCGGTCAGTCTTGTGCTTGCCCCCAGTAAACCATAAAGCGTAGTTATAGCCTATTGTTGCTCACAATCGGTAAAATCCACGATAACGGTAAACGATTATTATTTTTTTATCGTAATTGTTATATTACCTTCGATCTATTTCTATCTAGAACTTGTCTAATATTAGATTAGATTGTACGCACACCTGAAACTAAACTATCGCCCAACATTTTAGTCGCGCTTTGATTGCTTTGAGCTTGTATAAAGGTGCGCATTCTACTTGATTTTTAGTTGTGCAACTAAACAGTTGAATGGCGAAACAATCGACAATCTCAACCTTATTCTTGTAAGAAAAGGATGGGAAGAGTCGAGACGCATAGGGAGGGGAGCATCCTCTTAGGTATGTGCGTCTCCTCTTCCGTCGCTTAAGGGTAGGCAACGCATCTATTGCGATTGTCTATGGGCAACGATCGCTTTGACAGTTAGGCGGATTTAGGTGCCCGATTGCTCGTTTGCTACCTTATGAAATAAAAAAATCAGCAATCCGACAACAGTCTTGAGATAGTTAAATTAAAACTTTTGATATTATTACGTAAATCCGGCTCGAAGGACCATTTGTTGACACTCCTACGAAACTTTATCCACAACAAACGACTCCACGAAAACAAACGAAACTACGGAACACAAACAACCTCACCAAGACCTAAAGAACACAAAGAACACCACTGGACAAATAACCGAAAAAACACGAAACACGACAAAACTATATAAGTTACAGGACAAACAAATACAAATCGTGATGTAACCAACACACAGCGCCATCTGTTATAGAGAAGCGGAAACGACGCCGACACATCTATTTATCTAGTGTAGTATATAGTAGTTTTATTACACCAAAGATGACTTTATTGTGTTTTCAAGTAAATTTGTTTTTGATATCAGGATAGTTAGCAAAGACCTTTTTGACAGATCGTATACAAGTCGACGTGATACTAACAAATATTGGTGTTTGCAATACATGTTTATAACGTGGGTTTCTACTGAAGTAACTAGTACATGGTGTCAGAAAAACATATTGATATCCCTTTCATTTCCTTCTAAAAATATGAGTCAGCTATTACGAGTGTAACGTCAGCGAAAACTTTAGGTGGAACCAAAGAGATTCGAAAATATATAGAGGAGGCATAGTTACATTTGAGACATTTTTCACATAATCTTCCTAACTCTACCTATTGATAGCCTCAAACCACATGTTACTATAATTAATGTTTTATTACAAGTCAATTTATTGAAATTTATTGAAAACAGATTAATAATTAACAATAAAAGTAATAACCAATTAAAATACAATACAATACAATTAAATACAAGGATACAAGGCATTAAACTTGACAACTAAATAGTACCTTTCAGAGAAAGTACCTGTGAAATAGTTTTGTTTACTACGCCTCCTCTATATGTCTTTTAAATATCTCTGGGTAGGATACGTAGAGTATGTAGAGTCAGCAAAATATAACAAAATAAATCTACAGTTATGACATTGCGTTGACATTCCATATTATTGCTACATCACGAAATATAAATGGTCATCATAAAATATACTTCTAACATATAAAAATATATTCCAAGTAATCGTGTGTCGTTAAAAGACTATCATGGAACATGTATTAAATGCTGCGTTAGTTGGCACGTGAGTTGTTTGTAGTTACATTTGTTTTAAAGCATTATAAAGAACATAATATTTGGCACAGTTGCATACAAGCTATGCATGTCATCTACAACCATGCAATTCGCTAGCATTGTATTATTTATTTACTAGCTTTCGCCCGCGACTCCGTGTGGGATTAAAGACAAAAGTGAGCAGCCTATGTGTTCTTCCAGACTATCCTCTACATCTATACCAAACTTCATCGAAATGTTGAACACATTTAGCTGTTTAGGCTACAAACTCTTACAAACATCCATCCATCTAAACTTTTGCATTTATAATATTAGTAAGTTTTAATAATCACGTGAATGACACAGCAATATTAGTCTAATTAACTAGTCTACGGAAAGCCAATTAGTTTTCACTTATTGTAATCTTATAACAGACTAGCTGTTGCTCGCGACTTCAACCACGTGAAATTAAAAAATAAATAAACATAACCTAGGTTAGTAACTGCTAAGATATCTTTTTAATGGTGAACAAATTTTTGAAATCAGCCTAGTAGTTTATGAATAATTTCAATACATACAAAATCTAAAAACACAAATCTCTCCTTTTTATAATATTAGAAAAATAAATATTAGTAAAGTTAAGCAAACAAACAAGTACTACAGCTAGTTACTTAACCAATAGTTTAAAATCGTTCAAATTTTATATAAAATATCAAGAGTAAAGTGGCTTTTTAACATGAACACACACGTGAATGGATCTACTCGTAGTTTGTGATGCCTACAGATGTTATAGGAGCTTGCACTCAGTATTGTGCGATTGTTACAGCAAAATTGCATTTTGTTCCAGCTACGAGCATGCAAATAGAGAGAGCATGGGATTCAAAAGGTCAGGTAGATTCTAGATCTACATATTTTCGTCTCTATTTTGGCAATTCGATTGAAAGGGACGACAGCATGTAATTACACATATGTCACGTCACGAGATTTACGCTTAACGTAAATAATTGTTGTTGTTAATCTATTGAAATAATTGAATAATATAATGAATCAGTATGGTATCATTCACGTTTTACATTCATATGAAAGTTTTTCTTTATTCTAAATAAGATTACGTACTCGTTAATCAAAATATTTCATTTATAGATCGGTAATTGAAAATCTATTGACAATTTATTTTATAAGAGAAGGGGACAAACGAGCGGCGGGAACACAGAGGTGGTCAACGACGCCCATAGACATCCGCAACACTAGAGGAAATACAGATGCGTTGCCGGCCTTTGAGGAAATTGTAGGCTCGCTTCTTGAAGGACCCTCAGTAATAGTGGTTAAATAAACGTTCGATTAAACTTATTAAAACCTACACTTATACTGGATTTATAAAGTTTTTATTTATTGTGTCATTAACTAACGATTCATTAGTGTTAGGTATACACGGATAATACAATACAAAGTTCCAACGAAATACAACTCAAGTTACGTAGTTCGGAAACGAATTTCAAAAAGTAATCGAACCGATACCACTAACTTTAAAAGTAACTGGGAAACCGGCCTTAAGGGGTTCGACTACAACAGATTGTTTAAGAAAATTCTGCACTCGATCGTTACTTAATTCAGAAACGGAATCTGTTACCGATGAATTCTTCGTTTTACGTCACAACAGCATCAAAATACGTTTAGTTTGGAGTCATATTCTGACGAACTGTGACGAAAGTCAGATAATATTGACCGATGCGTCAGAAACCACGCACCGGTTGACACATTGAGTTAATCACTGTGTGAACAAGTATAAAACTAGGGTATTGTAAATGGGTGTGTCATTACTAAATGTTATAACAAAGCCCTTACGTGGTTTTTTTTCATAGTAAAATATCATTGACTACGAGAAAAAATTATTCGTTTTATAAAAAGGAAGTAACCTATGTGTTCTTAGAGGCTATCATCTACATGTATGCCAAATTTCATCTAGATCCGTTCAGCAGTTTAGGCTACAAACTCTAACAAACATCCATCTAAACTTTCGCATTTATACTAGTAAAATTATAGACCACTTTATAATTTTCCACTATTTAATTTAATTGAATATTTAATAAATCACGAGACATGTTTCAATTAATGCATGTTTCCACTAAGCTATGCTCACACAAGCTGCATTTGCGGCAGCGCCAGTGGAAATATCACTGGCAACTACAAGCGACGGATCGCGCGTAAGCTAATTTTATAGCGTCTAACACCAAGTTATCTAAGTTCAAAGTCATAAACACAATGTTAGCGACTAGCGGAACTGAAAGTTTCTCCGTCTTCTAAAACTTCCACGGAGGTCAACTAATTGACGTTACTGATAACATAATCAGTGCTGATGTTTGACATTGAATTAATAAAGTGCCACTTCCAGTCGCTCTATTAATGTAAACTGTTAATTAGCGACAAACGTGAGTTCTCACTGATAAAACATTAACGTAAAACATTTTGCGATCTTAGTTTCGCCAGAAAGATTGAAGTATAGTCTACTTGATGTCGCCCGTAACTAAGCGCGGAATTAATAATACCTAAGTGTTTTTTTGAGCAAGCGGCCACCTGAATCCACCGAAATTGAAAGCGACCGCTGCTCATAAACATCCGCAATTGCAGATGCGTTGACTACCCTTAATTGACGGAGGAGGAGACATAAAGAGGA